CAGCTGCTGGATGATGTTGGGTAAGCCACAGTTCTGGCACAGCTGTCCTTAAAAAAGAGCAGTCTCTGTCAGAGCTCTCTCAGCCTCACAGGGTGTCTGTTGTGGGGAGGGGAAGAGAAAGGAGTTTGTAAGCCACTCTGAGACTCCTTTGGGTAGTGAAGGGTGGGGTATAAATCCAATCCTCCTCCTCCTCCTCCTCCTTCTCCTTCTCCCCCAGATGACCCTAGTTTCTCCTGGGAATGGTTTCCCCCCCACCCTTCAGTGAGACGACCTGTTACAACTCATTCATATTGTCCCTTGCTTAGTGCTTCCTTCGTTTTCTGATTTATAAGCAAATGGATGAGATAATGCACTGCCTAATATAACTTCCATTTTAATGGCTTTTTCATAAATAGGGAGTAGCTGGACCCCCAGGAATTCCAGGCCCCCTTGGACCACCTGGACCCCAAGGAAGACCAGTGAGTATCAACTTTTTCTCATTTGCACACAGCTAGCTGTAATTCATGATATCAAGTACATGTTTGTCTGCATTTGCCGAAGGATTCTAGGAGTACTGGAGCAAAAAAAGAAGAAGAAGGGGGACAGCATGGATAGAAAAATAGGACAAAAGTCAATTAACTCATAAACAGCATTGCAGAAAGTGAACAGGAAGCTGTTTAATATGTTGTCGATTACAGAGGGAAGCCATTGAAATTCATAAACATAAACACAATTTCAACAGGAAAGAAGAGAGTTTAAAAATAAACAGGGCATGGTTTCCTGTCCTGAAAAACACAAAAGGCTCTACATATGACAATAGCACTACAGATAAGATTAGAACCTCCTCAGGAAACAGGAAACCTCCTCAGGAAACAATCCATATACAAAAGAACCTCCTCAGGAAAGCTCCTCCATTAGCATGTTCACAGCACAACCTGGGAAACTCCTACAAGATAATGACTCAGCCCTACCCCACCTTCTGGTGTAGATATAAATTACCTGCCTACCATTTTCTTCTCACGTTGACACAGAGAGTACTCCATCTTTCTGTGTTATACCTCTGAGGATGCCAGTCACAGCTACTGGCGAAACGTCAGGTCCTACAATGCCAAGACCACAGCCACACATCCCAGAAAATCTGCAACAGCTAAGGAAGCTGTTAGTCTGCTTCTTCCTGAAATACAAGACTTCAAAATCCAATCTCATCGTGCTCTGCAGATTAACCCCAGAAGGGTAATTAATCCGTTGTCACACACACACACCCGCCTATCGTCCTGGAGTGTGTCCCCCTCGGCCATGGTGTCAGGTGCAAAAAGGGAGTCTCCAGGACCTCAGAATGCAGGTGGGAGGCCTTGGCCCGCCGGCAGTAGGCTCTCCCCAGAGTTCTCTCCGTGCGTGCTTTCTCTCTCTCTCCCGCCTTCTGGTTCAAACTCCCCTGCTCTCCTCCTTGGTCCCAGCCTCCACTCCCTTTTATAGCCAGCAGCCATATGTTCCCAACCATGATTGGTCTCCCTTCGTGACCCTCCACCCCAGCCCTGTTCCCATTGGGCGGGTCCGTCTGGCCTTTTAAGGCCTTGGTACCGCCTCCTGTTTGCTCAGCCATGGGCAGGATTAGAATTCGCCGTTCATCCCACCCTGTTGTGGCTGCTGTGACTGGCCTCCAGCAAGCGGTCATCTCTCCTGCCTTCCCCTCTGATGGCCACAGGGCTTCTCATGTTTGCGGTCAAACCCGTTCCCCTCCCCAAGCTCTGCCAGCACACCCCGGCTACTCCTCGTTCCAGCAGCAGAGTTCTTCTCCTTGGGGCTTGCTGTGGACAAAGTCCCAGAGGTCCCCAGCTGGCCAGCCACCAACCCCGCCACCGGGCGGTCCTGACGCGGAGCCAGCACCGACGGAGGCCGTCACCCTCGCAGCTCTGCTGGATGGCCTGGACCCCTCCCCAGCCGGGTCTCTATCCTGCGACCTGCTCCTCAGGACACTTGGCCATCCCGGTAAGTCCAGACCTGGACACCCAAATAAACTTCCCCCCGACTTCTGAATCCAAACTGCCTCGGTCAGAGTTGGCTCTTTTTCTAGCAGTGCCGTGACGTCCGTGGCTGCACCCCACTTTATTTACTAAAATATTTATGCCCCATCTTCCCTTTGTGGCTCAAAGGGGTTTACAGATCCCTATTTAAAATGCACAGAACAATAAAACCATTTTTAAAAACCCTCTCCCTTTCACTTTTTCAGGTGTGCTGCCCAACCAAAACACTTAGCCTGTACTCACAGCACCACCTAGTGTCAGCCTGTGATGACCTGGGGGAGGGGGTTTGTCCTCAGATTGAGATGAAGAGGGAAAGGGGGCTGAAATTCCCCCAAGAACCAAGTGTAGGAAGGAGGCAGTGCTGCCACCAGCTGGAAAGCTGCTCTTAATCAATCCAGGTGCTCCCGGCTTCAGGAGTCTACTCTTTCAGGACCTTGGACAGCAGAACACAGGGAGTTCCAAGGAGAGGGAGGGAATAGACAAGCAAGCCCTTCCTTACTTTGCCCCATATCTGGGCTGAGAGTTCCCTGGGTATATGCTGAGCTCAGAAGGGAAACATAGTGACACTCGTTCCAATTAAAAGCAAAGAAGTTTATTTGAATTTCCCCACCACCACCAAAAAGGTAAAGGCTGTGTGTGGGGTTGGAACAAGTAAAGATCTGATTTGAGAGCCAAAGAGAACTCAGGCCCAATCCACAAAGGTTCCAGCAAGCTAGATGCATTCCCTAGAGTATATTATGTGGGTCTCTTTAAGCTTTTCCTGTAACACAAAGCTTGGCAGCGTTTCAACACAGCTCTGCATGCCCTGAATCTTGTTGTTGTGGTTATTACTGATGCCTAGACTGTGTGGGGTGAGCTGTTGTGTGCTGGCTTGTGGATCCTTTTGTGATCTAGTTTGAATGGTGACCTTCTGACCTCTTGCAGCCCTATGATCCTGTAATACTGGCTACAGTGATCAGCAGTAAATAGCAGACTGTACCTGGATTTAAATACAACTATCGGCTACTTGGACCTATGATACACTGAGACACGATACAGTGAGAATATGTCCTAATTCTCTGTGGGCCCCAAGAATACAGCTGATTGCCAAAAACTGAACAGCCTCTCTTTTGTCTTTATATCTGTGCTCTACTGTATGGCTCAGAGCGCCCTTGAAGTATCTGCATTTGCTAGAGATAGGTGTCTGATTTATATCAGTTTGATCCAACAGGTGCAGTGCAGTGCTGCCTCACTTCTCTGCACAGGGTAGCTTCAGCACCTGGCAACTTCTCCGGGGTTCCCATAGAGATTGAAGAATTACAACTCAACCTGCACATTAAAAATGGCACACAGGGTTAATAATGTTGGTTAATAACGAATTTGAATGCAAGACTTGCCTGCACAGTCTCTCCATTCCCAAAGGCATGTGCCTCATTTTCCATCTTTCCTCCCGTGGGACACCATCTCTCCCTTTGAAATCTGTCTTTATACGTACGTAATGAATTAATTAAGATGCTGAACTGCAGGCTGGAAGGTTGGTAGTTCAGCAGTTCGAGACCCGAGTGCCGCATGACGGCGTGAGCTCCTGTCTCTGGCCCCAGCTCCTGCCAACCTAGCAGTTCGAAAGCAAGAAATTGCAAGTAGATAAGTAGGTACCACTTCAGTGGGAAGGTAACAGTGTTCCGTGTGCCTCGGAGTCTAGTCCTGCCGGCCACATGACTGTGGAAATGTCTTCAGACAGCGCTGGCTCTTCGGCTTGGAAACGGAGATGAGCACCGCATTCCTAGAGTCGGCTTTCAAGCAAGGGAAACCTTTATTTACCTTTTACCTTTTAATGAACATGCAAACTGATGATGCCTCCATCGGGTGCAGCTCTATAAGCTCTGGCCGGAAGACGAGCCACAATCGAACTCCCATCTAGTTTCTGTGCTTCTGCACACCTCTCCCCCCCCCTTCCCTTTTTCCCTTGCACAGAGCTTGAGGCCAAACATCCTCTTCTGAGCAAGCTCCACTTTGCTATGACTTCCAAATCCAGGTGTCTCCAAGATTTGGAGTTTGTCCAATTCTAGTTTAGTATTCTGGTTTGTGTATAGAGTTTTTGGGATTCTTTTTTTAAAAAGCTCTCCACTTCATTTTGTAATTTATTTGCTTCATTTATAGCCTGCCTTCCTCCCCAATGGGGACCCAAAGCAGCTTAGTTTGTTCTCCCTTCCCCCGTTTTTATCCTCACAACAACCCTGTGAGGTAGGTTAGACTGAGAGTATATGACTGGCCCAAAGTCACAGTGCAAGTCACAGCGCTCTGGCACTATGTATTTCTTCCCTTTATTTGTATTTTACTTACTTCATTTATTCCCACCGCCTTCCTACCCAATAGGGGTCCAAAGCAGCTGACATCATTCCAGGCCTGTAGCTATGGTGGGGCTTTTGAGGGCTCTGCCCCCTTTCTTGAAGGCACAGCCCCACAAGAATGTCTCCTGTAAATGCTTTTTTCAGTCATTTTAAAACATTTTTTAAAAGGCGTGTGCTCCATTAAGCAGTTGACTAATTCCTGCACTGAGCCAGGGGGTTGGAGTAGGTGACCTCTAGGATCCCTTCTAACTCTGTGTCAAGAAACTGGTCTCCTTTAAGAGAGTTCTTCTGCCTAAGTGTTAGCTTTCTTGACTATAGAAGTCATCACCCCCACCTGACGGCTTGTTATCAGAACTGTTGCTTAGGCTGGCAGAAGTGATTAACTTGCAGCAGCTGAGGACTGTCATCTAAAGTGGTTGACAGCTCGCAATTTAGAGATCTGTCCTGGTGACAGCTTTCTACTGGCTAAATGGCTTTTATTTCTGCACTGAGAACTTCAGCCCCACCAGAAAAAAAATCTGCCCCACAAGCCACAAAATCCTGCCTACGGGCCAGGATCATTCCATTCTCCTCTCCTCCATTTTATTCTCACAACCATTCTGTGAGGTAGATTAGGCTGAGAGTGTGTGATTTGCCCCAAATCACCAAGCAAGTTTCCAGGGAAGAGTGGGATTCGAACCTGGGTCTCCCAGATCCTGATTCAACACTCTAACCACTACACCACACTGTCTTGCCAAACTAGAGCAACTGCGGCTGGACCTCATGATTAACTGGAGCTTGATCAGTCTGGGAAATTTTGCATCGCGTTCCAGGCCCGAAAGGCAGAGGGAGAAGATTGGGTCACATGTGAGCACAGCTGAAAGCTGTATTTGTGCAACGGCAGTTTACTACAGCTCTGGAGTTACGAATGAAGATACTGCAGGGTTGGGATTTATTAGGGAACATGCTTATACGCTCAGATTGATGTGTTGTTCTCATTTATAGCGTGGTAGCACCCACCAGGCTTTTCCTTCCAGGGTTTCCCTCCTCCGCTGAGGAGAGTCGATTGGCACAAGTTGAGTCCGGGCGGCCTCCAGTTTGGCCTGCTCAGTCTGCAGCTGCTTTTGTTGTTGCCCCTGTGTGTACGAAAGTTCACTCCGCTCACACAACTGCAAAAAAAAATAGCCTGCCGGGGACCATGAATTGGGGACACAGTCAATGCAGGACCGAAGCCACTCTCTGACTCTGACAGTGCAGCAAATTTAATGGCAGCGATTGGGAATAAACAAGAAAGGTGTCGATTCAGTCTCTTCCCCCCCCCAAAAAAGGTGTTTATTCTCTGAGCTGTGACTTAGAAAGGAATCAAAGCAACGGATTCTGCGCGGCTGACTTCGAGCCAGGCCGGCTCTCCAAGGATACAGCTGACTCAGCCTTTTTGCCTCATGAAAGTTTGTGGGTCTCAGCCTTGTGCAAACTCTGCTCAGAGCAGATCCAGTGGAAATCCGGCTCAAGCCAGGGCAGTCTAGAGTGTTAAGACTGGGAAATTCAGTGGACTGAAATTCCCATGAAGCTCACGTGGAACCACTGGGCTAGTCACTGTTTCCCGGGACTCAAACAAACAAGATAAAGGATAAACAACTCTTTCTGTGCATGAAATGCAAATGGCAGCCTCATGAAGCCTAGGGTTGTCTTGGGGCCATGCAGGGAAGGGAAGGGGAGGTGTTTGGCAGGGAACCCAATTTCAAATATGGTAACTGAGTAGAGACTCTGGTATCCTATTTGGAACTGGGCCCCTGTCAGCGAACTGCCAATGTTTTACTTTGTATGCTTGTATTCGCTTGTCTGCTTTCACTTTCACCCGCTAGACTGTAGATGCGCATAACGATGTAGACTGCCAAAACAATTATATCTTCCAAGGCCACAGGTGGTTGCAAGAGCTTGTTAGTGTAATGAAGTTCTCACGAAACGGCGTGAGAAAGAGATAACATATTCTGCCTAGGGCCGTTTATTCTCAAGCCCAAAGGCGCGAGCGGGAAACCCTGCAATTGGGCCCCAGTAGTTTGAATGAACTATAATATGCTTTGTGGTTTGATTCCCTCCCATTCCGAACAGTGATCCTGTTATGCACCTTAGCTTCAAAATAAAGTAAAACCTTTTCTACAAGCGTGTACTTTGTGATGATGCTGTGAGGAGTCTGACAGCCCCCAGCTTTGGTATTAGCATTTCAAAGTGGGAAATATGAGTGTTCTGAAAGACTCCCCTTTGAAATTCTATGAGTAGAATGGGGAGCTAGTTTTGCGTAGCAGAACCAAGCAGAAGTTAAAGGATCAACTCCCCTCTACCTGTCCGGCATGACTCCAAGGCAAACTGAGGATGCATGGGGCTTTCCGTTTGCATTCTGTCTTTGTCTTTAAACCCTCAGCTCTATCACAGGGTTGTTGTGGGGATAAAAAGGTGGTGGGAAGAATTGTGTCTGTTACTCTATGTGGCAGAGGTGGGTTGGAATAAAAATGTAATGGAAATGAAGACCCTTCTTATTAGGTAACTCTTTGTTAAATAAGTGACTAACACGAAAAGAATTAATAAGCTGTAGAATTAATAAAATGTCCTCTTTCGCAGGGTCCTCCAGGGCCACCTGGTTTACAGGGGGAGAAGGTAAGGACAAACTCAGTCAATAATGCAAATGTTTGAAACACATTTTCCTAGGTGCCCGTTTCCTTAGGGAAATCATGAATCAGTGGGAGAGCATCTGTTAGGTGTGCAGAAAGGTCCCAGGTAGGAGTCTGGGGGGGGGAATCATTCCCCCCCCCAATTCTGGCCTGTTGTATCAAAAAAATACCAGCATTCCCGAATACCAGAGTTAGTATTTTACTGGTATTCAGGTAAATATTCAGGAAACCCAAATTTATTTGGCTCCATTATACCCTATGGGGACCATCCCCATAAGGTATAATGGAGAATTTCACTTGCTGAGTGAAAGTTTAAATGCAGTTATGCTCACACTCATTCAGCTTAGAGGGAACAGTGGTTATGGCACAACTCCACAAGTGAAGTGATTTAAAGTTTAAATGCCTTCAATTCACTCCTGGAGATGGGTTGCTGCCATGGTGCAACTCCATAAGTGACGTGAAGTGACTTAAAGTTTAAATGCCTTCAGTTCACTCCTGAAGATGGGTTGCTGCCATGGTGCAACTCCATAAGTGACGTGAAGTGAGTTAAAGTTTAAACACTTCACTCATGTAGTTGCACTGCCATTGAGGCACGAAGTGAAGTGAAGGCATTTAAACTTTAAATGCCTTCTGAACTTGCTGAGTCGCACCGCAGTGCCAGCACAACTGGGCGAGTAGCCACAACCGAATAAAAGCTGAATAATATCAGCTTTTATTCAGGCGCAGCTACTTCAATATACTGATAAGGCATTTTTCGGGTATTTATTCGGCTCGATATATACTGAGCACACACCACTAGTCCCAGTTTCAATCCTTGGCATCTCCAGTTATGAGAACCAGCCAAAAGATTGTGTGAAGGACCTCAGCCCAAGACCCTGGAGAGCTGCTGCCAGTTAGAGTAAACGATATTGATCTTAATAGAGCAATGGTATAAGGTCGCTTTATGCAGAGAGGGGCTTTGTCTCAGTGGTAGAGCATCTTTGCATGTAGAAGGTCTTGGGTTCAATCCCTGGCTTCTCCAGTTAAAAGGATCAGGCTGGAGGTGATGTGAAGGACCTCTACCTGATACCAGTCTGAAGAGACAATATCTGATGCCAGTCTGAAGAGACCAAGGGTCTGATTCAGGACAGGACAGGACAGCTTCATGTGTTTTGAAGCACCAGGGTGCCAAAAACTGAGACCCGACTTCATAAAATATCATGGCCAAAGTGTGGTAGTTCCTAGGAGCCGTAGAGCATCTGGAACACCCATCTCTTGTATCCAGAAGCAGAAATGCATCTACAAGTCTCTTAGGGTCAAGCTAGACAAGATGCTGGGTGAGATGTGATCATGTATTTTTGATGTGTTGGAAAGTGAGTTTCAGCCATGCACAATCTCCATTCAGTATAGGACCACAGAGGATGGAGGTGGGGGTGGGTGGGGGAGGAAACCCCCATCCAATCTGCTATTAGATGCCTATTTTTCCTATTCCCATTATTCATAATAGTAAGGCAAGAAGTTGGTTGGTTGCTTTAAGCGAATCCCTGCATGGGTGGAAATACCTGAATCCGGGCTGTGTGTGACTGCAAAACCAAAGGCTTTCCAACATTTTAAAGTTGGTTGAGGCTGACTACCTTGCCCTTGCAGCGGTAACAACTGCTTACCCATTTCCCTCCATGCTGAGGCCGGTCTTGATGTACCAAATTACCAGTTATCATCCAACAGGGTCAAGAACTCTGTGCTATTTTGAAATCTGGCACATATTTCTTTTCTCCCTGCAGGCAAGGGAATAGATTAGGGGTCCCCAACATTGTTCCTGTGGGTGCCATGATGCCCACTCATACCTTACCTGCTGCCCGCAAAGCATTTGCTGAAAGTGGGTGGAGCAGTTGGAGTTCTTGCCCAGCACAGCTTCTGATAAGACATTGGAGATCTGATTGTCTGTGCAGATTAAAACAACTTTGCATCCATCAGCAGCTAGTTTTAGTCTCCCTCTCTCTCATTTCTCTTTCCCAGTGTATTTTTAAAATCTCTTCCTCTGGGCATGCATGTGGCTGTGCCTCCGATGGCAGCCATTTTGTTGTTGCTGCCACCACCTTGTGTCAGAATTCCAAAGAGGCCCACGGGCTCAAAAAGGTTGGGGACCCCAGAGTACACAATGCACATTGCTGCTGTTTTCATAATTATTAGACTCCCCATTTCTGAATTTCTTTTAAAAAAATTAACTTGTCAACTGAGAAGCAAAGTATGTGCCTTGAAAATGAAATGGTCCATATCGGAAGTGGGCTTTCTTTTATAAAATGCTTCCTCTCTCTGTTGCCAGGGCCATATGGGCTTAAGTTTCCAAGGACCAAAAGGCGAAAAGGTAAGCTTGTTCTTTTGAAAGCTGTCCACCTATGCTTGCAGTGGCAGCTGAGACCCCACAATCGGAGTGCTTGCAGAACTCACCCTATTGTTGTGGGCATACCTCTGAGTCTAGCCAGACCTCTAACGCGGGTCACCCACTCAGCCTTCAAAGAACGACTCTGGCTTATGGGATTCCTTGCTGCAGGATGTCTGGATGGCAACCAGCTTTTTGAAAGGCTTCTGTACCTTCAGAGAAAATGGGTCCCTCACAGTGGCTATGGTTAGCTCAGCTTTCCCATGCAGAGCATTGCTTCTGATGTCAGGAGCTGGAGATCTATAGCAGTGGATGCTGTCATCCACATTCCCTTCTTGGGAACTTCCCTGCAGCTTGCCAGAAGAAATGCCGACTGAGTTCCCTTTCATAAATGATTGATCAGCCCTGATTTGGGTAGCCCAGGCAAGCCCAGTCTCATCAGATCTCGGAAGCTAAGCACGGTCGACTCTGGCAAGTCCTTGGATGGGAGACCTCCTTGGAATACCAGAGGCTTTATGCAGCCGCCTCTCAGAGTATCCTCCAGGCCCCCAGTGCACACACAGTCAGACACTAGAGGTCGCCATGACGTGCAGATACACAGAGGAATTTCAGACAGACGATATAATCCGGAAGAGGAACAGTTCCCAAACGGTTTCTGGTCTGTCATTTCAGACAGAACCGTTTTAGAGCCGGTTCCCTACCGGAATATATTTGTAATTTCAGACACAAACACTTCTGTCCTGTTTAGGAAACAGGGCTGAAGCGTTTTACCGGTCATCCGCTTCCAAGTAGTCTTCAGTTTCCTCTCCCGGTTTTCCCCGCCATTTTTTCGCCCACGCGGGCGATCTCCGGCTTTTTTAAAAAAATGTTTGCTTTATAGCGCTATAGCGCTATAACGGAACAGCAGTATATCAACCCCATTGGAATGCCTGGCGTGTTTTTTTATAGTGCTATAGCACTATAAAGCGAACATTTTTTTTAAAAAAAAAAAAAGCCGGAGATCGCCCGCGCGGGTGAAAAACAGCGGGGGAAAGCGGTGCAGTCTGAAATGGCAAACCGCTTCAGATCCAGCTCTTTACCGGAAGGGGAAAGCCATGTGTGAAATGGCAGCCCTATACCGGTTTACTCCATGACGGATCAAAAACAGCTTCAAAACGGGTTAAAAGGGGTAATGTGAAATTCCTCACACACTCTCACATACGCGCATGCTCAATCACATGTGAAAAAAACAACAACAAAGAGACCTTAGAAACCAATGGGATTTTTAGGTATAAGCTTTTCATCAGATAGACCCCGAAAATCTTGTTAATTTTTAGGGTGCTCCTGGACTCAAATGAAGCTCTTCTTCTGCAGACCAACACAGGCCCCCTCCTTAAATAAGTTTCTTCAGCATAAGCAGGAAAACCTGTTTTAACCATCCTTATTTAAAAAAAAAAAAAACCTTTGCCATTCTTCTAAGAGACCAAAGTCTCTGGGATCACAATCCTACACGATGGAAGGATGGGCTTGGTCTGGCTGAATTTGATCTTCCCAGGTTACTTGTGTCTCAGCTCTTGCTAGACCGTAATGAATCTTTTAAAAAAATTAATTTTGGAGTGAGTAGAAGAGTTTAAAATGCATTTTTTCCTCAGTATTCCTTTTCTGGCTATGTAGACTACAGTGCTGGCTGCTGATTTGTCTGTTTGTTCGTGGTATCTCTAGGGTGAACGGGGAGTCATGGGCCCCCCAGGTCCTCAAGGAGGTACCCCGCAACAGCAAGAAAAAGGGACCATAGCCATACAAGGCGACAAAGTAAGATCATGGCTTTTATTTATGTGTATATGAATGGTAAATTTATTTATGTGTATGTTAATGGATGGAGCTGCGGTGGCTCAAGTGGTTAAGACGCTGAACTGCAGGCTGTGGAAGGTCGGTAGTTCAGCAGTTCGAGACCCGAGTGTGCCGCATGACGGAGTGAGCTCCCGTCTCTAGTTCTAGCTCCTGCCAACCTAGCAGTTCGAAAGCAAGAAATTGCAAGTATCTAAATAGGGACCACTACAGTGGGAAGGTAACAGCGTTCCTTGCGCCTTGGTGTTTAGTCATGCCGGCCACATGACCACGGAAATGTCTTCGGACAGCGCTGGCTCTTCGGCTTTGAAACGGAGATGAACACTGCAACCCTAGAGTCGGATTCGACTGGCTTTCGAGCAAGGGAACCTTTACCTTTATATTAATGGTGCCCTAGCCTGGCCTGATCTCATCAGATCTCGGAAGCTAAGCAGGGTTGGCTCTGGTTAGTACTC